ATTTTTAAATATTAATTTTTATATTATTAATGCTCAACCCTTGTATCGCCTTAGTCAAGGACGATCTCGATTTACTTGCTTCGTTCATTTTGACAATCCAATCTCTAAATTACACAACTACAACTTGAATTGAAAAAGAGCAAAATTAGGGTTTGTACCTCCAAACAAGAATCCCCACTGAATCCTCCAATTGATTTCCTCACCACTCAGAAGATGAAATCCCTTGTAAAAACCCTAGCTTTCTCCTCCAATCCTTCAAATTGAACCCCAAGCCAACCTAGAGCTCTGATACCACTTATTGTGTATAGAGAAATCGTAACCAAATCCGAGATATGAGCACAAATCAACAACCAAACAAGCACCACATAGGAAAGACACCAAATTTACATGGTTCGGTAATGTGCCTATGTCCACGGGGCAAGGAGGGAATAGATCTCACAAATAGAGAGAGAGTATAAATAGATATTATAACCACTCAATAATCTTACAAACAAATCACTCTTGACATTTACCTCTTCTCTGAAGCTCTCTCACAAAATTGCCCAAATAACAAAACCTAATCACTCTATTAATCTCACTCAAGCTCTCAGAAGCTAATTTTTTCTTGTGATTTAAGTGAGAGGAGAGGGGGGGGGGGGTATAGCTTCCATGCCCCCTCTTGTCAACAATGGCGGCTCCCCTCTCTCTTTTTGTCAACATCAAAAGCTCTTCCTCCCATTTTTGACAATAAGCCACCAAAAGCAAACAAAGATGGCTCCCTATTTTTGACTAACAATCTCCACCTCAGTGAAGTTTTTCTAATATTTACATATTATTGCGCTATATATACATATTATCACGATATACTTACATATTATCCTGCTATACTTGCAGATTATTATGCTATACTTACAGATTATCCCGCTATACTTACAGATTATCCCACTATACTTTCATATTATCCCACCATACTTACATATTATCGCGCTATATTCACATATTATTGTGCTACACTTACGTATTATGATGCTAAGGGTGAGCCTTGCGCAACTGTAAGGTTGTTGTCTTATGACCTGGAGGTCATGAGTTCAAATCCTAAAAACAGCATCTTCGCATGCGAGTGCAAGGTTGCGTACATCTGACCCTCCCCAAAGCCTACAATAGTAGAAGCCACGTGCACTAGGATACCTTTTTTTTACTTACATTTTATCATGCTATATTCATATATTATCACACTATACTTTTAGTTTATCACGATATACTTACAGATTATCAAACTATACTTTCAGATTATTATGCTATACTTACGTAATATTACGCTATACTTGCTGCAACTCATGCTATACTTGCACATTTTCATGCTATACTTACATATTTCGTTGTCAGGTATGTGCAAAAAATTAAGATTCCATGATTCATCACATACCACTTGAGAAACCTGAGTTGCAAATAGAATATAAGGAGGCAAAACTTGTTATTTATGGAAACTACTAGCAATCAACTATAAAACAACCAACTTGAAAACCATTTTTGCATCAAATAAATACTATCTTTGATATTAGAAAGCCCAATTATCCAAACGCTGAGCAAACTAATTGTAATTAACTACAAAACAACCGATATGCAAAAAAGCTTATCCTCAAGCTCTGCACTATGATTAACAAAATACAAGAGCATCCTTCCAATATGTACAAAATCTAATCTAAATAACACTGGACGCTAAAAAGCTCTTCCAACCTACACTCCACGGAGATCTAATGTGAAGGCCTTAGTCTTTTGCATCTCTCAATTTCCCGAAGAATGAACAAACAACCCAAACCTTATGATTTATCAAGGCTTGATAAACAAAAGCATTCAAGTGATAGTGCTTTTTGTAGATAAAAAGGAGAAAAATAGGTGTCGATGTCGATGAAGCGAACCAATGGATGGATAATGTAGTGACGGTCACGCGTCGGACCAATTGGGGAAAATATTGGGGAGAAGAGAGGAGAGGAGAACGGAGAAGAGATACGAGAATGGAGAAGAGAGGAGAGAGATTTTTTGGAGGTTGTTAGGACTCATGTTATGAGCCTACTTCTCTACTCTTGTTTTGATAATTAACAAATAATTTCTAATCTTGTTTTTAGCATTTGTGTTTGTATCTAACATGCATTCAGGTTATATTTGAGCATAACGATGATATTCATGGATTTTGAATGATATTGAAATGAAACCGTTGCAATTCAAGTTAAGATTCAATATTACTTCATCCGTCACCAAGATTGAGCTCTAACAAAGACCATTAGCTTGGGTAAAATAGCTTAGGTTTATACTTTGTGCTCTATGCTTACAGCTCAAATTCATACACGCACACATTTTTTCTCTTTTTAAGAAAATATCAAGCTTTTGTGTTATTGACTTAACGATAATGTTTTATACTTGTTATTAAGCCTATTAATCCATTCAAAATTATTTCCAAACTTATATATAATATTTGTGTCAAAATCAAGTATTTACGAACTCGTATTTTTGACGATTTTACAAAATAATAAGTTTTCACAAACGGTTAATGATATTTCAAAAATTTCTTCCCCAGCATTTTTGTTTTCATGTTTATAAATTTTTTTCCAAAATTTTACTATTTTTAGAGTTTATTTGTTATTTTTAATTGAATTTACAAAGTTAGTTTTTCTAAAAAATTATGTATCTATTTTATCAGTCATCGGTCGACCGAACAAGTCGAATCGGTTGACTGTCCAGAGAAGTTTTTTTTAGCATTTATTTTCTTAGTGTCATCAGTCGATTGATACACATGTATTAGTCGACCGATAAGTATCCGTCGGTCGACTAACGCATGACCAGTTGCCGACCGATAATATATCTGTTGTAAAAATCGACTAGTTTTTTAGATTTTTTTTTATTGGTTTTGCCTTATTTTTTGTGCTTTTCTCTGGTTTGGGTTGATATGTTGAGATATTATATATAGTCCTCAACACTTATATTTTTTAGGGTGTTTTAAAATAAGTTTTGCAAGTTTTGTTTAAAAGTTTTAAGAAAAATCAAGTATTTGTTTGTGTGAAAATATTTTCACAAAGAGGAGAATCAAAATTTTGTTTTCAGGCGTTCTACCACAAATCATCATCTACAACTCTTTGTTCACATCGAAGAAGTTTTCTAAACTCAGTTATCTAGCTTATTTATATTTTAATTGTCATATTTATATTTTCTAGATTAAAGAAGTTTTCTAAACTCAGTTATCTAGCTTATTTATATTTTAATTGTCATATTTATATTTTCTAGATTAATTCGAGTTTATTTTCATTTTTACTTATTTTATTTATATTTTAATTGTCATATTTATATTTTCTAGATTAATTCGAGTTTATTTTCATTTTTACTTATTGATTTCACACATAACCAATTTAAGCTTAAGTATTCTTCACATATTGTATATTTGGGCTTTAGAGTGAGCTTAAATTTTGTTCTCATTTGTATTAGAGAACAAATCTTATAATTTGCACTTGTATTGAGAGAACATGTTGTAATACACAAGGACACTTAGAGGAGTAATTGGTGAGAGACCGGGGTTAATTCCAAGAGGAGCGGTTGGTAGTAAAGCCTAGGAAGATATTATAAATCCAAATGCTTGAGGAAGGTTACATGGGTGAGACCAACACTTAGAGGAGTATATTATGTGATTGACAATGTGTGATTGTAAACGTTATCGGTGAGCGTTGAAAACCGATTATGTAGTTATTTGTGTTGAGATAGTGGAGATTCTCATCAAGGGTGAGGAGCAGAGATGTAGGTCGTGGGTTGACCGAACTCCGTGATCATTTCCCTTGTGTTTGCGATTGTCATCTGTGCACTATCTCTCTTGTTCTTCTGTTCATGTTTATTTCTCCTATTGTTTAATTATATATCCTTGCATATTTCATTGTATATTATATCATTAGGATATGTAATTAATAATTTTTAATTTAGCATCGATATCGGATTAGATTAGCAAATATCATATTCACCCCCCCTCTAGGGTACTTTCAGTTTTTTGGTTAGGGTAGAGAGATGATAACGGAGAAGAGAGGAGAAAGATTTTTTGGGGGTTTTTTAGTTAAGGAGAGAGAGGAGACCAGAGAAGAGAGGAGAGAGAGATTTTGATTCAAGTGGGTGATTGAAAGGGGTATTTATGGGTTTTTACCATGTAATTGCATAAATACGAGATACTCTACCTCTAATTATACAACTTGGGTGTAAAGGTAAATATAAAAAGTTGATTGTGTTCAAAGATACAAGCAAAAGATGTTGGGTTTATCTATAAATCAGGGTAAACTTTTGGGCCTAGAAGGAAAACCCTTAAAAAATCCTTTTACATAAAATAAGGAAACATTTCTCTACATACATTGGATGCATAATTTAAATTCAAGTTATTGCAAGTCATAAGCAATCTACCTCTTTACGTAAAGTCCCAAAGTATAACTTTTTTGACGTCGTGGTTAGAGTTGATGGTTATGTTTTCATCTTGAACATGCCTCCACAAGTTTAGCATCCTTTTCAGGGCCGAAACCCAGACTCATTCACCAGTGTTAATTTTTAGAAAATCTATACTATATTTATGACATGTGGGGTTTTAACCTGCGTTGCTCCGACGTCATTTTAAATGATCCAACCATTGAAAAAAACTTAAGTTTTAGTGAGGATTGAGTGTTATAATTTTATATTCTTAATATACTTTAATTTGAGAAACCTCCTTAAGCTTAATCTGTTGCTAACTATATATTTTATACCTGCCTTGTCATGATTCTTGCTCAGTTGGTCATGTTTTGAAAATATACATATCGCACATGAACTTCTTCAACCGATGCTCGAGTCCCTCCCCTCCCTAAGCTTCCAATGTACATAATCATTAGAAATAACAACAAAATCACATCCTTCTAACGGAAGAAAACCTTATAGAAAGAAACCTAGTATGCATTTCAACGAATTAATTAGTAGCAATAATTTATAGAAACTATAAAACCTTATGTCGTTATCCGGACCACAAGTTATGCTCTCGATGTCAATATCATAGACATAGTCTCTAGTAGAGATGCAATCATCACCTGTAATCATAAATAACATTAACCAGAAATAGATAAGAAAATAAAATGAAAAGATCAGGAGAAGTGTCTTAGTAAAAAATAAAAAAATAAAAACCAAAAACAAAATGTCAACAAAAAGTTAAAGTTGAATGATCATCAACCATTAACTTTAATATCCTTTTCCTCTCTATATGATACTCCATAAAAGTCGGTCTCAGTGATGGCATCAACCATTAACTTTAATATCCTTTTCCTCTCTATATGATACTCCATAAAAGTCGGTCTCAGTGATGATCACATGCATATATCAGTTTGTGCAATTCCTCTCTATATGATACTCCATAAAAGTCGGTCTCAGTGATGATCACATGCATATATCAGTTTGTGCAATTGAGTCTTGAACGATTAAAAAAACTAAAGAAAAATGTGTCCTAACAAAAAATATCATGAAAGTTTGATGATTATTAACCTTCAATTATAAGATTTATGCCAGGAAACCCACGACAAGCTTCTCTTCTTTTCTATATGATATTCTAAAGGGTTAGTGTCAAGGATGACCACATGCATACGTATACGTGCTTATGTTCAAGTCCTGAACCTTGACGTGCTCAGAAGCATGAATTTGTAGACTATCAGTATTGGGGCTACCATCAGGGGCCATAATGGTGAGATTGTCGGTGCCTGGCGGCCTAGGAATAGCATGAGAAGTATTTTAGGGCTTGATGTAAAATTTTATGAAGGATAAGTAGTGAAAGAAATGCACATGCGAACTCCTCCCTTAATTTAGCCAATCTTGAGAACTTCTTTGAGTTTGTGGTGTTTATGAAAACCACTCAACATTTTTAGTTTTTCAACTCACTCTAGCAGAGTGTTTGATGAAATTGAAGGGGAAAAAGGCCATATACAATTTTTAAATTATCACTCTATTTATTAAATTAATTATTCCATTTTAATTTAAATCCTATTTAAATTTAGCCCTAAATTGGTTAAAGGTTGTGTGTGCAGGGTATAGTTTTGCTTCTTTTTTTTTGTTTGAGGGAGGTGGGGCGAAGGGGGTGTAAAAATATTAGTGACCGACAAATGTTTCGTTTCCCTTTACGAGCATTTAGTCATTTGGATGCACAAGATTTTCACATGCACAATCAAATGTAATTATTATTATTATTATTATAAGAGTTATCTGGAAAAGTTTAAAGTTGACTAAGTGATAGTATTTTAAGTTTTGATGGTTATCTCAAAATCAGCACCAAGTTAAGGGTGGTTTTGTGAAATTTGTGCTACTTTCAAACATCTAGTCTAATATTGTTTGCATTTGTATAACCTTAAGAAAACTATGGTATGGTATGTAACAATTGTTCCCTTTTACTTTTTTTTTGCAAATAAGAGTATGCATCACATCAGAATGGGTCGTACTATTCTGATTTTAGTATATCTTTCATATTCTATTAAGGCTTCTTTAAGAGGAGATAGAGATCATAATAAATAACAAAGAGAATGAAGAAAAATCAGAGATCTATTCTAGGGTTTTGTGAGAGTTTTGTTTTGATAATTTAACCTCTAAGCCTTGTTCAGCTTCTATTCGTCGCGCTTAACATCGAAGGATTATTTTGGAGAGGAAGTACTCTTTGCATTCAACTACAACATCACTTCTTCACGGATCTTCAACATCAATATTTTGGAGAGCAATTTATTTAAAGGGTTGTAAGATCTATTCAATTGCACTTTAATTTATTTTTAGGTTTGTTTTGTATTTCAAACTTGTGAGTGTGACGCTGTATTCAATCCGAGGTAATTAAGGGTTGGCATATTCAAGCCAGGTGAATTGAGGGTGGCTAGCTAGGACTAGGTTTCTTCAGATCATTATGAGGAGTTGGCTACCTTGACTATTTTTGGCTAGATTCTAAGATCATGTTTGTAAGGCTTACTGAATCGGGTTACGATTTAGGAGAAATCTGGTCATAGTAAAAAAGACCCTTAGTGAGAAGGAAGAGTGGACATAGGATTTTGATCCGAGCCACTATAAAGATCTCGTGTGTTCTTGTGTTAGTTGTGTTGGGATTGTGTCTTTGATTCTTTGTATAACTTCATAAGAATTAGAAATCTATCATGATTAGGAGATTGGTTATCATTATGATTAGGAGTTTGAATCCTATTCTATAGTTCTCATTACGATTAGGAGTTTGAATCATATTCTAATTAGTAAGTTTGACTAGGGGTAGGGTTTTGGTTTCCTTATATATATATATATATTCTTATAATTTAGGATTAGCTGATGGCATAGCCAGATTCAAGAATATTGTGCAAGAGGTGAGGATTTCATGGTCTTTATCCATGTAAAAGATTACAACATTGGGATTCATAGTCTTTGTCCATTCAAAGATTGTAAGGAGTGGGTTTTGAAGAGGACATGAGAGTTGATTATGTATGTAAGGTTGAGAGATTGAGAGATGAGAGTTGAGTGGTTTCTTTTGTAGTTCTCCTTGATATATAGTGGATTTCTCGTATTGTTGCCCCATGGATGTAGGTCGAAGTTAGTCGACCGAACTACATAAATCTCGGTATTTCTTCTTCTTAATTGTGGTTATTTTCTATCTTATTGATTGTGTATTAGCTTCCGAGTTGTGGAGGTCATAGTACACGAGGCGACTAAAATTCCCTAACAGATTGCTTTCAATTTTTCACATATTTTATTTCTGTTGCATACTCTAAGTCTTTTCAAAAAATTGTACCAATCCTATTCACCACCTCCACCCCCCCCCCCCCCCCTTTTTTCTAGGCTTGCATCTCATTTCCAACACAGAGATGGTCAAGATCACAATCCCTAGTGGGATAGAGAAGGGGGGAGAGAGAGAGAGAGAGAGAGAGAGAGAGAGAGAGAGCTCTTATAGTCGTGGGTAGGGCCTATCAGTAAGTGACAACTTTATGGGATTAGGAATCCTATGAAGTTGCACGGTTGTAACAGCAGAGAGTTGGTTTTCTATGAATGAGACCCTGAAGCCGCACGAGATTCGAAATATTGTGGAGTTTGAATTAATTAAAACTCCATGAAATTCTGAATCCTGTGGAGTTTATTGCAATGCAAAACTTTAGGATTCAGAATTTTGCATAGTTTAATGTAATTATAAACTACACGGGATTAAGAATTCCGTGTAGTTTCTTAATCTCATATAGTTTAATTTTCTACTAAATTGTATGAGATTCTCAACCACATGTAATTTGTAGCACTTATTTATCAATTTTGACCCAATTTTAGCTGCGTGACTGAAACTTGGTCAAAATGATAAATAAGTGCAAGGTGTCCTTTGAATTCCTACACTTTAGATCCTTATTGACGCAAATTGATATAGGACTTTTGAGCAATAAAATATTGGAAAATGGGGAGTTCAACCGGAAAATTTACATGGCCAGAATTACATGGGCTAATGAAAGATATAGGCTTCACAAAGACAGTCCTATACTCTGATATGATCATAGTAGAAGTATCTGAACCTGCTCCAGAAATTAAAGCCAATGCTTTTCGAAACGCCTAAAATTTTTATTAAGAGAAATTAACAATTTTTATTAATTAAGAGAAATTAACAATCTATATCGGCAAGGGGGAAAAAAAGAAAGAAATTAGACCATCTATATATATCCACATTTATACCTTAGTAGTCAGGATTATTTTCTTCCAAATTTTTTTTGCTAAATTTTTCAAGAGGAACTTCTTCATAAGTTAATAGCAATAAAAATGGACAGCTAATTGTCATTCAAGTGAAAATTTTAGAAGATATAGGGGGAAAATAAAACTTTTATTAACTATTTTACTTTACAAAAACAGAGAAGAAAGTAATGTGAATTGTCAATTTTATCAGAAAATATAAAAAGGAAAGGAAAATTTTACGTTAATTTGTGTCATCAATAGTGCCATCACTAGTGGCTCCAAAATCTAAAACATTAAACACAGTCCATGCAGTACTCATGGGCGTGTGGTTGATTTATGCATAGAAATTATCACTCATTAACTTATAATTAGGATTGCATTAATAAGAGACCACTTGAACTATAATTGGCTGTTAGCATTGACGTAAGAAAAAATTGTTGATTTTCTGATTAGATAGAAAACAAAGTTGCTCTCAGTTTTCATGTCAAAACATAACTTGGGTAGTTTCAGTTAACCTAAAATAGGACTTACTGAGTTAGAATTAGCACCATGCAATGACAAAATTGTTGTCCACCATATCTACTAATCGCCGAGCATATTGTATTATTTGTGTATTAAATGTATAACTACTTTTGAAGTATGGAACTACTTCTAAAATTTATTAATTTAGTGGTTGATATTTCTCTGATACATCATTAATACAATGTACCAAGTCAATGAATATTTTCATTTTTGATACATCAGTCATCCAATTAATCTATCTTGAATCAAATAGAAAACTAAAATTATTTATTATAATAACTTATAGTAAATAAATACATGGGCGGTTGGAATGGAACTTAGATTACTTTGATACCATGTTACTCCTTCAACCGCAGTAGTAATGGCGATTATAAGTTCATAATTTTTTTAAAATGGCAACAAGCAACGAGTTTAAGAATGGAAGAAGCACTTTCCACTAGATTCCATTGCGTAAGCTGAAGCAGAAAACCTCACCTCCTTCTTATTATATCAAGTACATAACAAAGAATTAACTCAACTACAACAAACATCACACTGATGCAATTCAAATGTTCTAGGTGTAAGTTCATGCTGGTGCTCGAAGACATGAAATTTGCGGATATATGAATCCCCTGGTGAAGCCGTGGGCATTGATGCAAGAGGCTTTTGCGCTAACTTGGCGGTTTGATGAGAAAATATTCAAATTATCGAACTCCATCAACGTGCACGGTACATTCTGGCTACAGTTAAGACTTACTGCAACTGGGGTGCTTGAACTTCCATACAAATTTGCATATGTTACGTTGCTGATTTGAACTGCATTTTTCTTCAACATGAAATGCAAGTAGATTAGAAATTGAGAATTGTATATATTTCTATGCAAAGATATACTGATACCTCAAAAAAAATTTAGAAGTGTTTGTAAGGGATTTCCTGTAAAGATTTTGTTTTTTATTGTATTCTGTTACTCTCTTTTGAATTTTCTAAAGTTTTAAATACCACTTTAAAAATATCCTTACATTTTGACAGATTACATAATTGTGAACATTATTTTCCATATGAAATATTGTATATAAAAACACTCTTGACAGTTATCAAGGATCTAATTTAAACAAAGGAAAACTAAACAGAGAGGAATGAAAGAAAGAGGATTCAGTATCGAGTTCAAAATTTTTGATTAAACATTTTTTTGTTTTGAATGTTCCCAAAGAAAAGAAAAATAGTTCTTAACGGAACATAGAGTTATACTAAAGATAAAGGTAAAATTTTAGAACCTCCGTAAGTTTAGGCATTTCTCAGAAAACTTCCATTAACATTCAAAATGTCGCAAAATCCTCCTTTGGTTTTGGGGTTCACAGGCCCCTTCAAATTTCATTTTTTTAGGAAATCCTTCTAACAAAGTTAATAGCAATTTTCACATGGGTGAGTAAAGTGAAAAACAGAGGATGCTTTAGCCGGTGAAAATTGTGGTTGATGCTTTTAAGGGGTTCTTTGAAAAACATTTAAAGTTATAAGGGTTTTTCTAAGACCCTAAAACTCAGAGGGTGGGGTGTTATAACATTTTGCTAAGTAACTAGGGTTATCTGAGAAGCACCCAAACTTTAGGGGGTTTTGTGAAATCAACTGTTAAATAAAAGTGTCCTTATTTTGCAAGTTCATGAATCTTTTGCAAAAGTTCTTCAATAAAATGTAAAGTGTATAGTTATCATTACGGTACTAATATTGAATAAATGCATCGCCTTTGTGAGAGAGACTGTTTTATCTTCAACAGTCCAAAAATGAAGGGAAAATTATGACATCTGATGAGCAGAATAGACTATAGGCAAAGCCATATGTACCTGAGGTGGGCACTTGCTAGGGGAATCACAATAATACTGGTCAATGATTACAGGATTATCAACTTTGGTGAAGTTGCAATGCTCAAACCTGATTCCTCTTACAAACCCTTTTCCTCCCTATAAAATAGTTTAATTTTAAATTAATCATGAATTCAAAGTATAGATATATATGACTTAACATTGAAGCATTTTCAAATGGAAATAATACAAAATTTATTTACCTGCCATGTCTTGATTCTTACTCCATTTGTTGTCCCATAAAAGTTTGAATACCTAACGGTTATACCTTCGACTGAAGCTGCACTGCCATACCTTCCTAAGCTTCCAATGCTATTAACCAATTAAATTATAAATCATCATTACCACATTACACTAAATAAAAGCAACAACAGTGTTTATTTATCAAAATAGATTATGAACCTAATGCCATGTCCTGGTCCACAGACAATCTGGTCAATATGAACATCGTTAACAAGATCTCCAATAGATATGCAATCATCACCTGTATTTCAATAAAAGTGATCGTATATTCAATATTGTTGGAGTATAAAATTTTAATCCTCAAACCTCAAAACAACTTTAGATTCTTGTGTAGTGGCACGGACTTTAGAATGATATAAAAGCAACCAAAGTCAATTCCTACTGGCCACAAAATTCTAAAGTTGTTTTAAATAAAAAAGAAAATGCTCCATAGGTCTAGGTTTCAACCTATCAAAGGATCTTCAACCTGCCGAGGCATGTTACAATATAAATATATAGCCCTCACCAGAACTTCAGAGTTTTGGTGTAGTGACAGGGACTTTAAGATCTCCGACTTACATGCATCAAGACACTTTAGCCCTAGCCTTTAGATTTAGAAGATTTTCACATCGTCTGCATAATATGTCTATGTTGATGTTTATTATTGCCATCAAGATAGTGTTGGTTTAATCTTGTTTATCTTATGCCATGTCTTAATTTACTGTTTCCCCTTGTTTTTACTATTTTTTTATTACATTACATTATATTATTATTCAAATAGCTCAATGCTTTTTGTTGCTGTAAATCACTAAATCAGAAGCACGTACTTTCTTCACTTCTTTCTTTTCACATGATTGGCGATTTAGATGTGCTTTTTGGAAGCTCATAAGTTTCACAACTTTCGTTGTTCGCTTTCCAAAATACTAACTGTGCCTATACAAGTGTGCTAAATCCAGATATTCATGGTGGCTGGCAGGACATGTCAGTGAAGTCGGGGACACGAAGTTAGTAGTTGGTATCTAGATATGAAGGCATAGTGTTCTCATTCATATATCTGAATTTAGTATACTCCAAATAGGAAGGTTCTGAAGGATTTGCATGTCATGCAAAGAAACATATAATGCAACAAAGATCCCTATTTGTGTTGTAACTTCGAGGCAGTTAACATAAAGAAATAAATGAACATGATCAAAACTGTAATTATTCATTTGTAGAATTCAATGTTTGGCAACATGTTTTGGGCAGCATGCAGGGGAAAACAAGACATCTGGGTATAAAGTTTTACCTGTTTGCATGGTTGAATTCTGGATATATACATGTTGTGAATTTTGAACATGGATACCATCAGTGTTGGGGCTAAGTTCAGGAGCAACCATCTTGAGATTTGAAAGAGTCGCTCGTTGACAGTTAAAGAGAAGCATATGTACTTGTGGACTATCAATAGACTGCAGATCTCTCACCCAGAGGTCATTGCAATCTTCAAATGTTATTGCCTAGAAAAGCAAACAAATTGTAGCTTGAGCTACTGTATGTAAATGATATCTGAACCTTTAGTCAATTTTAGATTAAGTAAATTGCGTCATCACTCCGTCAACAATAATCGTTATATTTGATAAATTGAGGATCCCATGCCATAGTAATAGTTTGCATCGTTGCGTGCACATTTAGATATTGTTGGTTCTTGCGAGCAATACATGTATAAACAAAAAATATCTCGCGGATGCTGAAATATATATCAGTATTTACAATAAACGTATCAAACATGATCTCTCATCTGAAAGACTCATGTCTGGTTTACAAAATTGGCTAAACTTTTTTCTTCTGTAATTAGTACACGCATTCAGACATTTTATTAGGGGAAAAAATGTTTTAGCAGTATTGTGTACAGCTTGTCAATCGACTTAAAAACCAGCTCCTTACATGAACAAACATATAATTATGGACGGAAAAATTAGTCTCAAGTTTTGAGCAATTTTAATTGTACTTAAAGAAAAGGAATACTCACAGTTGGTGCTTTATGAGTGCATCCCTGCGGAAAGAAAAGAGTTTCATTAGAAAGTGTTTATGTTTGACGTCTTAAAATGTATAGTCTACTTTCAAGCAAGAGAAGCATAATTATCATTCTTTAGTTCACACTAAGGTGTAATACAAAATCAAATTACTATATAAGCAAGAGAAGCATAATTATCATTCTTTAGTTCACACTAAGGTGTAATACAAAATCAAATTACTATATATTACTTACATAATAGCTGATTCTTTGACATGACTGGTTACTATTAATATTTTTATATCCTATAGTCAAAGGAATTTTGGTTAGAAGAATTAAATTAGTTGTCAGTTTTGCATTACTAAATCCAAATACCGATTCATGGACATGGGTTTGACAAATAAAACTGAAATAAGTAATAGAAAAGGTTCGCTTTAAGTTTATCTATGATGATTAGATCCGGAAAATATGTTATAAACTATCTTATGAATTTGGACACCAGGTATCTGACATTATGAAACAATGTATTCGATGAAACTAAATTGCTTTTTCCCCTTCAATTCGATTCACAAATTAGAATCTCTTAGCTAAGGTCTTGGGTTCTTCATAGGCCGACATCGAAACATTTGTTATACCCACATCGAAACATTCGAAACATTTGTGTATCATACCGGTTTTGGGTTATCTTTGCATGATTGTTTCCACCAATTTTGCCCTCGACCATTTATTATACCTCCACCAAAGACATTCAGTGTACCAACATGCTGAAACTGCAACCAGCGAGATGGATCGATTCCTTTCCACCACCTGGGATCGTTTGGTGCTATCAGTGTGCCTTCCATCTAATAATAAAAATGAGAGACAAAAACATTGAGTAAGTCATCATAATTGAAAAATATGGTAACAAGAAACTAAAGGCCCACTTTAAATTTGAGAAATTTCCCGTTAATCATTTTGAAACATTTCACTAAAACCCCTCCTGAAGTTTCATGACCATACTAACCCCTGAACTACTGGAAATCTCACAAATCTTGACGGGTAGAGTAATAAGTTTGAAATATGTCTAAGCAAAGTTTATGATGAATATTTGAATGAAGAGCATTTAGACACAAGAAAAGTCCTGCCCTTAGGCACATACATTGTTGGTGGTCCTGTAGTTGCCGAGCAAGCGGCCACCCATGCTTTTGAAAAAGCCTACAATATATTGAACGTAAATCAATGGTCATAGCGTTTATGAATTAATCATAATATTTACAGAAGGGTAGATAGTACATATACGTCTGCAATAATACCTGTGTGTCATCTGCAAAACCATCTCCCTTCGCTCCGAAGTTTAGGACGTTGAATACAGGCGGAGGGCCTGCACCAGCTATGCCAACTTCTAACAAAGTGGCTAGGCCAAATATTAGCATAACGTGAAAGATATCCTATAAAATGATAGTTAAAAATATTTCAGTCATCAAGCTTTAATGCAAGTACTAAATCTAAAACGAAAGAAAGCAATGGACTAATTAGCTTCTCACCATGTTAACTAGCAAACAAGAATTTTCTCAAAAGAAACTTGCGAGTTGCGAACGAGGAGGAAATCTGCTCTATTTATAAGACAGTATAATTTCTTTGTTGGAAAGGTGGCAAGGTTCGGCTAACAACGGCATATAGCTAGAATATACGAATTATACATCTCATTTGCGGAAGGAATTAAATCTCAGTTCATGCATATTACGGAATTGTGCATTTCTTGAAGGATATAAATGAATGAAAATATTTTGTCAGCATATTACGAATTACTACCCGGCTTATTTGTTTCTGAGAATTGCCTCTCATATCACTCGTGAATATAAATTTAACATAAATGGTATGCCGAAATCTTCATTCCTGAATCAATCAGAATCAAGCCATTATACAAGGTACAATTGTCAATGTGTGAGCGTATTAATTTAATTTGTCAGCATAAATAGCAAGGAAGCACTGAACATTATACGCATTGCCAGGTAAATTAAACCGGTAAACTACACTAAATTCCCCACGAACTTTCAGCGCTTTGCAGTAACCCTCAATATATAACTTCTAAAATCGCGCTAATCCATCAGTAACTATGGGAATTGTAGAAAACCACAATTACTTTTTATATTTTACAAATAACCCCCATGACTGCGTTTTGTCCACATTATGGGAGCTAAATATGTCACCAAAGTAAAATGTCAACTAAACACTGTCACGGGGGGTTATTTGCAAAATGTAAAAACCTGTTGTGGTTTTTTACAGTATAGTTATTGGGGGTTTACAGCGATTTTAGAAGTTATTGGGGCTTCACTTCAGAACCCAAATAGCTTGTTTGGATTGAGGGGGATAAGCGAGAAGAGAAGTTAGGGGAACCATTCACCTTTTTTGGGAACATTTAGGAGGTGAAATTATTCACCCTAGTTCCCCTTGGTTCACCCCTAGATAGTATAAAATTTGTTACCCCCCAAATTGGGGTGTAACCAAGGGGAAGGGAACACCATTCCTTTTCCTTCCATTCTCTCGCCTAGTTTCCCTTAACATCCCTTAACCCTATTGAAATCCAAACACACCCTAAAAGTTCCTGGGGGTTTTAATGTAATTTACCCAAAATTAATTATTATCACACTAAACGCAATTCAAAATCTTCCATATCTAGTCACTTATTGACAAGACATATAGTTCATATTAACCGTTATAGAAAATATGGCTGAAATATCCCTTTGAAGATATCGAAATAATCGTGTTATTTTTAATTTGATTGTGGGCTCGAGTTTGAATCATGATTGGGAAACAAAATCGAAACCTCCAAAACCCACAAAAGCCGCAATCCTTCTCCAAAATCTTTTTATTCTCGGCTTGCTAAAATCTTAAGCATATATCTCGATGCAAATTGTTATGTTTAAAATTCATTAATATGTTAGATTACATATTCCAATATGATGTTATGTATGAATATTATCTCATATGACGCCCAATATTATATATATATTGGTACCAAGCATAAATTTTGTGCTTGGTAGTGATGTGTCACATCCACATCCACTCATTACCCATGTGAATGTGGTCTCATATTTGAATGAGTGGAGGGAGAGGAGACACCTCACTATCAAGCACAACTTTTTGTGCTTGGTACCAAGCATACTGATAATTATATTTTATTATAATTTTATACTCTCATTATCTATTTGATATGAATAAATATACCACTAATAATTATTTTTATCTTTAATTACAGGTTAATGAAGAATAAATTTTAAACTCTCATCTCTCAATAAAGGCCCCTTGATTTAACACCAAAGCCCAAAGCCAAAAGCAAAAGAATGAAGCCAATGAAGTCAAATAATTTCTTTTAATATTTAATGAAGCATTGAAGCCCAAAATGTCAAGAAAATGTCCAAAAGTCCAAGTCCAAAAGCCCAAGAAAAATAAATATACCATCAAGAAACAAATGAAGAAGTTTTGTGAAAAAAAGAAACAAATCATGCAATTTTGATATCTCGATAATGTTTGGTACTTTGGTCATATCTCTCTCGTATTAACTCAGAATTGGCTGAATAAATGTTCTTTGGAAAGCTAAGAATGAGATCTATAACTTTTGTATTTATGATATCTCTAAAATCAGAACATATCATGAGCAAATATTCGTACAAAGAAGCACGATCAGAATTTCTATACTGGAGAAGTAATTATGGGAAGAATTTAAAGGTTAATAAAGAATAAAGCTCAAGATCTCTTCTTTCAGTAAAACATCATTGAATTAATGAAGAAAACAAGCAAAAGACCCAAGAATTTAAGCCCAAAAGCTCAAAGGCTAAAAATGATTCCTTACGGCTTAAGTCTTCATCTAAGGGCTCTCATTCATTATTGTTTACTATAAATAGGGGTAGAGAGTAAAGGGTTAAGGGTGTGAAAATTTTTTTAACTTCATTTGGAGAGGAGGGCTACTCTTAATTGAGAAGACCTTCCAAAATTATAACTTTTGTTGTAATTAATAATAATAATTTTTTCACCACTTTAAATTTTTCTTTTCTTCTTTTTGTTGGATGATGAAGATGAAGATGAAGATGAAGATGAAGATTAATTTGAATGTTTGTTTTTCTTATTTCTCTTTTATTGCTTATTAGTTTAGATTTATTTTCATGCTTATAGTTAGATTTTATTTTCTTGTTAAATAACCAAGAGGCTAGAACCCTCTTGCCTTAGATTTATTTCATGCTTATAGATTAGATTTATTTCATGCTTATAGAGTACATTTATTTTCTTGCATTTAATTCTTGTAATTTATTTTATAGTTTAGATTTTATAATTTATTTTGTAGTTAGATTTTAATTTCTTGCACTATTTACCTTGAGGCTAGAACCCTCTTGGGTTTAGTTTTTCGTTTTGTTTATTTTCATTTTGTTTGATTCGCCTTTAGGCTAGAACCCTCTAGGGAATAACTATTTTCTTATAAGTGGGTTCAATTTTAGATTATACATATCTATAATTGAATCCACCATCTTTAATTTCTTGCATTTTCTTTTATTCTTGAATTTTATTTTTTTTTCATTCTTGATTTTTATTTGTTTCTTGATTTTTCCTTCTTGCCTTATCGATCACATTTATTCTTCGTCACATCCACTCTCACTTACATTTTGCGTCTATTTACACACCATTTTCACTCTCTCAATCTCTTCACAATCACATTCACTCATCACTCCTAATTGTCACGCACACAACATAAGAACCGATTTTATATTTTCTCCTACAAAACACCTTCCTCGTGGGATCGATATCTTTAGACTATAACTTGACACGGTTGTGCACTTGCAACATTTTTTGTATATGTTTATGCTGCATCAAGTTTTTGGCGCCGTTGCCGGAGAGGGTGCTTAAGTAGGTTTTAATTATTTTGGTTCTTTAACTTGTGTGTTTATTGTGAAGGAAACGCTTGGAGCTTGGAAGATCACGGATTGGAGAACTATGATTTAAAAATTTACTTTCGGGTAAGTCTTCTTTCTAGCGTTTTTAATTCCACCCTTTTTAGTTAGCTTCACAATTAGAGACAATTAGGGTTTAAAAAAAAGATTTTATTTTTGTTGACCATAATAAAATCCATTTTTCACTTTGATATTTACTAACAAGATAATAAATTCAAATAATTTCCCCCTTCTCATTTGTTTGATTGTTAACCCTAATTAAAAAGAAGATTTTTTCTTTTCCATCCTTTTTAATTGCTTTTAATTCATAGGGTTGCATTTCATATTGTTAGTAGGAATTCACCAAGTGATTTGAGCATCTTGATTTAGCACACACTTAAAAAATATTTTTAAGGGCAAAACCCCATAATCAAGATAAGGTGAGGGATTTCATCACCCTTTCCTTAGCCCAAAAATCACTAATTCCTCACTACACTACCCAAGCCAAATAAAACTCATTAGACGTTGGCCCTAAGGACTCGAGCTCAATAAGGAACAAGAAATCCTGAGGTGAACCGATTTAAGTTTTCTCAGATTAGTTAGTGTCTAAGACAAGGTTTAGGGGTTGCGTAAAGCGCTCCGCAAGGAAAGAGGTACTTAATTGATCTTTGATCACCCTCTAGTACTATCCTTACCTGGCTAACTACCTGGGTAAAACTTTAATCTTTTCACTGTAGGAGTTTTTGGTTAGGAGCTGGTCTAGTTGAGTTAGGCTAACCCTAGAATTAGAGTGATTGAAAAGTGATTGCTTTGATTTGTTTTAGTTCGGATTTTTCTTCTCATAAAAAAAACTAATTTTCTTTCTTTCTTTAAAAAAATATAAAAAGAAGTTGTTTTGATGTATGCAAACTTGGATTAGGGATAATTCTTATCGTTTAATCCGTGTTGAACCAATCCAAAAAATAGCAAATCAACCCGTTCTTCAGGATATGTGTTACCCCACCAGAAATACAATTCCATCTTGCATAAGGCTCCCCGAAGCAAATGGAGAAAATTTTGAGCTTAGACCGTATTACATAAACATGCTTCCCAAATTCCTTGGAAATGAAACCGAAGATGCATATATTTTTATTTCGGAATTTGAGGAAGTGTGTATTATGATTAAAATGAGAGAATTAACGGAAGATGCGATTAAGCTTAGATTTATTCCATTTGCTCTTAAGGATAAAGCTAAAAAATGGCTGTACAACTTACCGACAAATTTCATCTCAACTTGGGATGAATTTGTCACCGTTTTTCTTAAGAAATTTTTCCTTATTCACAAAACGGTAAAGCTAAGGAACAACATTCAAAACTTTAAAATTATCTCGGGAGAGCCATTCTGGAAATATTTCGACCGATTCAAAGATCTTTTAATCCAATGTCCTCATCAGGGTCTAGAAAAATGGCGATTGTGCCAAGTCATATATGAAGGATTGGACTATTCTTCAAAAACATCTTTAGAATCGATG